TGGTGATCACACACGACGAGACGCGGCACGGGTTCGAGTCGGGCGACAAAGTGACGTTCCAAGAGGTGGAGGGTATGGCCGAACTGAACGGGTGTGAGCCGCGCACTATCAACGTGTTGGGCCCCTTCTCGTTCGCCATCGGCGACACTTCCGCTTTTGGCCAATACAAGAGAGGCGGTTACGCCACTCAAGTGAAAGTACCCAAAAGTGTGAACTTTGTAAGTGTTGTAACTGTTTGTCAAATTGGGTTTATGTAAACACAGTTTGTATGTATTTTTGATTTTAATGACATTTGGTTTTGTGTGACCAGAAATCGCTGCGCGAGTCGTTGGCCGCACCGGAGTTCGTGCTGTCGGACTTCGCCAAAATGGAAAGGCCGGCGCAACTGCACGTCGCCTTCCAGGCCCTCCACGCGTTCGTTGAGCGCAATCATCGGCACCCGAACTCGTGGTCCGGAGCGGACGCCACCGAATTTCTCAAGATTGTGGCCGATTTGGCCGCCGAACAGAAGCTGGAGATCCAGATGGACGAGAACCTGATGCGACTCTTCTCGTACCTGAGCCGCGGCAACGTTTCGCCCATGAATGCCGTGATTGGCGGCACCGCTGCCCAGGAGCTAATGAAAGCGTGTTCCGGCAAATTCAGTCCCCTCTACCAGTGGTTCTACTTCGACGCCTTGGAGTGTCTGCCCCTCGACCCGAAGGACTACCCGAAAGAGGCCGACTGTCAACCGACGGGCAGCCGATACGACGCCCAAATCGCCGTTTTCGGGCCCGGCTTTCAGCAACGGCTGGCCAATCAAAAGTATTTTCTGGTAATATTTAATGCGGATCTGTTTTGCGGTGACAATGAAACGATGTATAATTGTATACTTGATGTCCGCTTCCAACAGGTGGGCGCCGGAGCCATAGGTTGTGAATTACTGAAGAACTTTGCGATGATAGGGTTGGCCACCGGCCAGAACGGCGCCATCTGGATCACCGACATGGATATCATCGAACGCTCAAACCTGAACCGTCAGTTCCTGTTCCGTCCGACAGACGTCGGGAAGTATAAGTCGGTGACGGCCGCGGCGGCCGTCAAACGCATGAACCCGAGTGTCAATATCGTTGACCACCAGAATCGTGTCGGAGCCGAAACGGAACAGACCTACGACGACAAGTTCTTCGAGCGCTTGGACGGCGTGGCCAACGCTCTCGACAATGTGGACGCCCGGGTCTATATGGACAGGCGCTGTGTCTTCTATAGGAAACCGTTGTTAGAATCGGGAACTTTAGGTATGGAATCGATTGTCTGTTCATTATTTGTTGGTCACACACCACCCGATGCCTGTGTTTTTACCACCGATTGTCTCATTCAATAGGCACTAAAGGCAACGTACAGGTAGTGCTGCCATTCCTAACGGAGTCGTACTCCTCATCGCACGACCCGCCAGAGAAGTCCATTCCCATCTGTACGCTGAAGAACTTTCCCAACGCCATAGAGCAC